CAGCATGGAATAAACCTATTACTTGTTCCTTCAATATAAATATATATACTGTATTCAGTTAAATCCAATTCAATTAAAATTATTTCATTTTTTATATAGCGCCTTTCACAACAAGGTTGCCCTAAGGCACTTAACAAAGCTGTGTGACAGTTCATGACATTACAATACAGAAAGAGAAAAAGCCACAAAACAACAGAGGAGAGGAACCAAAAACTCCTCTGTAAGGAGAAAAAAACCTCTTGGGGTCCAAGGTCAACTGTCTGCCCAACCCCTTTGGGCATGCTAACATTAAGATCAGATCACTTTATTGGTCAAATACAATTTCTTTTATTAGGAATTTGTCTTTTCGCATACCCCAACTTGCTCTCCATTAGACACACTGGCACACATTATATATTTCTAAAAAATCTATTTTAAAATATATATTATTAAAATAAAAAATCTATAATAATATATATCATGCATATAAAATATATTATTTAATATAGCGATTAGATCATAACTTAATTATTTGGACTAATTATTTAAAATAATTATATCAAATCATTCTAAATTTGATCGCAATGAAAGCCAGAAACTCAGGAATCCTGAGAGCAAAGGGTTGTGAATCACGCCTTTATTGAAACCTTTCAAATGTAAGGGGTCTGATTAAAGTCAGCCATAAGATAAAGAACACTCACTATTTTACTTGAAACTGAAGCCAGCCTTTTATGTTGGAAAACACGGAATTGTTGATAGTAGTAGATTTTGGTGTGTGTTAGAATGCCTTTCACTGTGACTTTGTTGACATGTTCTGCATACTGTTATTAGTATGTCAGCAACGTTTTTACAAGCTGCTCTTGAGATTGTTGTCTTACACATTCATGTAGAGACTGGATCATGGAGATGTAGTTGTCACTGGTCCACCCTCAGAGTGGAATTTGATTGTACATTTTGATTGTGTCAGCAGAAAGTAGCAGGGCAGATGCTTATGGAAGTGTGTAGTCTGTACTGCTACCAGCCCAACCCATTGAAAAAGAAAAATGTTCTTTTTTGTTCATCACAAGACAATGAGAATCTTAGTGCAGTGTTGTCTAGATACAAAATCCACAGAATTCCAGCCAATCCTGTCATTTAAAACAAACATTCGAAACAGTAGACGGCTTCTTTGGATGCAGTCGTAGAATATTGATTCAAATTAATGACAATAAGCAACATGGAGGCAGAGCAGCAAATTATACTGCTGTCTCCTGCACTGTCCCCTGCCCAGTCAGTAAAGCCTTTACAAGAAAATGAAGTAGGGCCCTCCAGGTTTGTCAAATGATTTGATTTTCCGGGAGTCTGTCCCAGTATGCCTGTATAATGGCCAGTAAATAACACATGGCATTTTAGTTTGGCAGGAGAACGGTGCACCATTCCAGAACATATAAAAAACAGAATCCTCTGGTGTTGAGAAAATAACACATTACCTTCCTCAATCACTGCATGAAGATCGATTGCAGAATTAATCACTATGTGTAGGAGTAAATATTACAGTGAAAAACCCATAAGGAAATTACAGTAAAGTCTGATACAAATGGGTAAAATGTCAGCAAAGATAATGAATGGTAAAATCACCAAAAACTGAAAAGTTACAACATACACGTACTGGGGTGAGTCTTCACAAAGCAAGCAGAGCTCAGTTAATAAAAGCATCATGGCACCAGACAGACAATATGTTCTGATAATCTATTTATCAAAAGTGAGCTAAAAAAAAAAAGAAGAAAAAAGATATCACTACTCTGGAATCAGTCCAGAGATCTGGAATAAGCAACCAGATACATTCTGGGGCTGGAGGGAGTGAACTACACTGACAGACTGAAGGAACAGAACCCTTTTAGTCTTACAGTAGAAGGCTAAGAGAGGGGGAACTTGATACAAGTATTCAAAATGCTCAAATGCACTGACAGTGTGAAGCCAGTTTCCTGACTGGTTCCATGTTGACAGTGAAACATGAACCACAGGACACAAGCAGTAACTACATAGAAATGCATTTAAGTCAGCGAACAGGATGGACACAAAGGTTTGTGGGAGGATGGATCAAGCTAAGCAGTCATGTTACTGAGGCCAAAATTCTGGCTACTTTCAAGGCATGGTTGGATGAAACCCTTAGATAAATGAGCTATTTACTGTAAAAATGGCTAGATGGACTGATTGACCTCCTCTCAATCATACTCATTATGCTATTTTGTTCTAATTTGTATGTCAGTCTATAAAAACTATAGGCCTAACCTTTTTAACCCTTTTTAAGCTGATGGCATCACCCAAGGAACTAAACAAACATCTCCTTTCCCCATGGTGGAGATGTTTGGTAATTGACATGGGTATTGGTGTGCTCTTCAGTGACATCTACTGGAGCAATACCTAAATATCTCTTGAGTAGGAATAGCAACTAATAATAATAACATTTATACAGCGCTTTTCGGGACACTCCACTCAAAGCACTTTACAGGTAATGGGGAGCCCCTCCACCCCCACCAGTGTGCAGCCTTACCTGGATGATATGGTGGCAGTCAGAAGGCACCAGTACTCTCCCCACACCGTCCAGAGATGGGGATTATTAGGAGGCCAAGATTGGTAAAGATTAGGTGGAAATTTGGCCAGGACACTAGGGTAACATCCCTACTCTAGACAAGCCATGGAATATTTAACGACCACGGAGAATAAGGTTCTCATTTTTATGTCTCATCTGAAGGACAGCACCTTTTTACAGTATAGTGTCCTTGTCACTATACTGGGGCATTAGGATCCACACAGACCACAGGGTGAGTGGTCTCTGTAAGTGAAAAGATGTTAACACAACCTCTGCAGGGTACAAACTTAAACATGACATATTTTTGCACATTTTAACGCACAATTACTATTTTTTCTGTTTTTAACAGTTTTTAAAAAGCGTGAACATGGCATTTGCCAAAGTTTGGGCACCCTTCCAGTTGATTCATTACTACTTTTGTGTTTTTACCCCAAAAACTCATTAGGCCATAAAGTCAGGTGAAGACAACTGCAGCGTTGAACAAACCTTCAGATATTCTGTCTGGAAGCTGTGATCTCTGCCAAAGGAGGTATTACTAAGTACTGACTGACAGGGTGACCAATGTTTTGCACGTGACTCATTCCCTGTTTTATTTTTTGTTTAATTCAGCAAATAAATAGTAATTGTGTATTAACATGTGCAGAAATGTTTATGTTTGTACCCTGCAGAAGTTTTGTTAACTTCTTTTCACTTAAAGATTCAGTGAACATACAGTACATTTTGACCAGTGGCCAAACTTTTGCAGACAGTACAACTGTATTTATGTGTTATTTCACAGTGCCACCTTCAAAGGAGAATTTGTTTGGCCCATACAGTATGGACTACCTTCTGTTATACAGGATATGGAGCAGTGGCTAGGGTTCTGGACTTGTAGCTGGAAGGTTGGGGGTTCAAGGCTGAAGTGGAACTTGAACAAGGCACTTCACCTGAATTCCATTGTTCCAGTATGATGCCCAGCTGTATACAAAGGTGCAAATGGATACTCCTTAAAAGTTTCATGCAAATAAAGGCACAGAAGTGAAATGGGGAGTGTATTGCTAGATTCTACCCAATACTTCAATATGTAGTCTCCTTCAGAAGTGTGCCTGATACTGTACATTGTAATGTTAGTGGCATCGACATTTGATACAACCTGTCATTTAGACCACATTGCAAAATAAAGGAAGAATACACTGGATGACTATCTTGAATTTTGAAAAGCAAAAGGGTAGCAAAGGGTGTTATTTATGCAGCTGCAAAAGACAAATGGTCTTTTCTCCTCATTTACAACTATTTCCTATATTAAAGGAATTCTGTTATTCTGACCAGTCTGAAATAAGAATGGGTTCTTTAACCGTTCCAACATAACTCTCTAATGAGAACAACACAGTGTCTGTAAATCACTGCTTCTGAAAGAGGGCCTCATGTCAGCCCACAATCCATATCTATAACAAAACCCAAAAATGACCAGAAAGTTCTTGTGACTCAGTGATGGTTACATTACCGGATTCTAGAACTCAGGGGCATTTTATAAAAAAGGGCTATGAAGTCAAATATTTTTTATAGCACTTTTTCCTTCACTGACATTTAAAACACAAGTGAGAATTAACTCTGACAAAACTTTAAAGCAGAAAGAACAAAACTTCAACATATGGTTATGTTTTCTTTTTTTCTTTCATGCTTTTATTATATTTTGTGGAGGTAAACAGTATTATTTAGATACTGAGGAAAATTAACAAGAAAATACGTAGTTAAGTAATAAATAAGTAATAAAACATTACTTATTGATATGAAAGAGTACTTAATTCAATTTTGCAGTGATTGTGAATTAAACAAATAATCAAAATCATAAGGTTACAAACTACAGGAGACCATTCTGCACATATAACCCATTTGGTGGTTTTAGCTAATTGATCTTGGGATCTTATCCAGCCCTTTCTAGAAGAAAGCCAGGGTTCGAGCTTCAACAGCATGGCTGAGTAGCTTGTTCCACACTCCCACAACCCTTTGGGCAAAGAAGTGCCTCCTGTTCTTGGTTTTAACTGCCCTTCCACTTAGCTTCCACTTGTGTCCTCTTGCTCGTGTATCACTGTTCATTTGAAAGAAATCCATCCGGTGGAGTTCTTGAAGGTTCAGTTCTTTCAGTCTGCAAGCGCAGGACATTCACATAAGCTGTGGATCTGCTCTGGTTGCTCCTGTCTGGACTGATTCCAGAGAAGCAATGTTGATTTTTTTAATGTGGTAACCAAAATGGAACACAATATCGTTAAAGAGGCCTTCCTAGTGCATTATATATAATTCAGCATTTAACAGAAGCTAAAAAGCACCAAGCACTACAAAATTGCATTGAGTGTTTATTTTAATATACAACTTGGTATTTTACTTGTATTTAATGTCACTGATTACACTATAAGGTAAAATACTCTATTTTATCAGGCAAATGGTCAATGTTTTCAATAATATAAAATAATGACAAAGAATCAAGTGCTTTATAGCTTTTGGCAGTAAAATTCAGAACAAAGGATACAATGTAAATACAAAATCCAAGTACAGTATTTTAGTCCCACAGCCCCACAGTCCCACAGCTATTACAGTGGCTTGTATTAGAGAGAGACGATAAGAAACATTTCTCCATTCATAAATTAGGCGAATATGTGATAATGCATTTCATTTTCCCTTTTGCTATGTGCTGTTAAAATGGCCATTTGCTCATTCCTAAAAATATTGGGAGTGCCACTCTAAAACCCGATAAAAATATAAAAATATAAACTCTATGCAGCAATTAGTGAACGGAAGAGACCACACTTGCATCAAAACAAGAAAACGTAACTGCTTGTGATATGTCCGCCGCGGAAGCAACTATTTCACTCCGCACAGTAAAACACAGCAAGAGTTGCATACAGACGGCTGGTTTTCAGTATTCTTTCAAATAGGCGTTCAGTGTCGCAGAAGCTGCACGACGTGCCTTCCGACGGCACTCACTGGACGTCCCAGATTTCACAGAGCAGGGGGGTGAATTTGTGGTCATTCATCCTCCAAGACAGGAGCATCTCCGCATGGTAGTGGTTCAGAGTTCGCAGCTCCGTGAGGCGCCCCAGCAAGCGGGCAAAATGCTGGGGGTCTTTGTGGTGGTTCAGCTTGCAGAATATGCGGAGGACATCGAGCAACGGCTCCTGTAACCTCTCCACAGACTGCACGTCCTTCACGTAAGGGCGGTCTGCAACACCAGCAACAGCACTGGTCACCTTACTGTAGTCAAGACCTGTAGCCCAGAAGTCAGCACTCACCTGTCTTCTGGCCCGCCGACATAAACGAGACTGGTCACCGAATCCTCGTCAAACATATTTTACTCAATATCGCACATTTGAATGAAAATGATAATACTATACTAGTACGTGTGTTAAATTATTATTTGAGGAATAAATGTTTGGAGTTTCCGAAGTGCTCGGTCCTCTCCTCGCCTGAAAACAAGCTGTATTTTGGTGTCAGTAGTGTATTAGATAAACTGCTGATTCCTTTCTGCGCGTAACGTGAATGTCTAATACTTACTGGCTATCACATTCACCTTGTAAAAAACGTTATTTTGTCAATAAAAACAAGTTGTTTAAAAACAAAGTGGATAAACTAATCTCGGGACTTCACCTGGTGAGAGGATCGTTACCGCGGTGAGCAGAGCGTATTCCTCCTGCGTCATTCGAAGCTCTCCGACGCTTTTATAGAAGTTAAACATTGGGGTTATGTATTCTTCTGATATACCTGCAAAAGAATAACAGCTTTGAGAACTACGAGCTGCTGTACCGTTACCAACAAATTTGTTTTGTGATACCCCTGGAACTTTTCTGATGTACTGTACTTTCTATTTTTATTAGCGGACCAATAAGGCCTCAATTCCCGATATCACCCACAACTGCGGGTTTTGCAATATCGGGCACGTTATGTTATGCCAAATCACGTCTCTATAAGATCATTTTCCTTTTTGTGTTACAGCTGGAAGATATATATATATATTATAGAATCACTAGAACAAAAACGTCCTGTAAATTAAGCTGCAGGCTGTATCCCCGCTGCTGCAATGCTACGTTCATTCTGCAGGTGGGAATCCTATGATGAGGCGCATTTCAACAGCCGGAATGCCGGGCGGGACGCAGACACGGGCCTGATATACTGTAGAAAGAAGCACCAATTGAACTTTGTTAAATACCAGAATGGTTACAAGAGACAGGAGACTGTACGGGCCGTCAAGGTTGTTTGTTAATTGGTAGTTTGTGTTAATTGGTAGTAATTGGTGTTTATTCATTGGTAATTAACCTCTCATTTGGTCGCTTCTTGAAGGAATGCAGGGTAGCTTCAACAATATGGCTGGGTAGCCTTTTCTATATTCGCACAACCTACTGCATTGGGTTATGCAAAATAACACGTTTTCTGTGATTTCAATTATTTGTTTCTTCTTCCGTTCTAAATTATCTTTAAAAAAAACAATAATACAATTGAATTTGGCAAATAACTGCAATTGCCCAAGACGTATTGCATATGGAACAGTATTCTCTTCTTTCCCCGGACTCCGATGTCCTACTCCTTGCCTCTGGACTGCAGTGAAGAAACCTTTTTAAAGTTTGCATTGAAAAGTGAGTGAGAATGTTCTTAGCTGGCTGCTAAATATGGAAAACCAGCACCTGGGCATCCGTACCAGGCAATCAAGGGGAAGGACATCTGCTTAGACTCTTGGAAATGTTGATTGTGTAGTAGCCTAGTGTTAGAGCGAAACGGGAATTGAAATTATATCCCAAACAGATTGTGTGACCCTGTCCTACATCATAGTATAACCTACGCTTGAGAAGTACTGTTATATACTGGGACAAGAATGTTTTATCACTAAGAAGACAACAAGAGGTGGACTGCCTTATAGCCCAGTCACCTACACACCTGTCTCTTTTTTCTGAAGGTTAACCGAGGGATTTTGAATATTCTTATTGCTGTGTCCTGCATTTTTCCGTGCAGCAATTCCATTTATAATGATAACTCCTAAAGTGGTGCCAAGGACAATAAATCTGCCCGAGAAAAAAGATGTTTGACACATTTTCAGCATAATCAACATGCAGATGTCACTCTGAAAAAACATCAGTCCAAGAACAAATAAGGAGAAAACTTTGATGCAGCTTCACCGTTGATTTATTCGTTTGTCTCATATGCTAAAATCTACTTTCCCGTAACTTGGAATTGGGAAGATGCTGTGGAACGCTTCCCCATTACGCCACTAGGTGGTGCCACTGTAACGCTCTGTGAACTGATGTGGTCGGACGTGTGTAAAGTGATGATCGTGCCATCCCTATATTTCATATGCAGACCCCAAAAGAGCACTCTAAAGAAAACCTCCTTGCCTTGAGACAAAAATTAAAGATATCCTGTCATAAAATAAAATATTGTGTCTGGTTTACTATTTACAGATGGTTTTACAGATGAAAAAGCAGATGGACATCAGTTTAAAGCATGCACTGAAGCCAGTATTCTAAAACTTGGTTAATAAAGGAATTTAAGTTTTGCACATAGCTTTCCTTCTATTAGATATATATTATGTAAAGAGTAGTTAATTGTGATTCAGGGACTACCAGGCATTCCCAGAAGTCAGTTCCAACTGTGACAGGTGTTTTCAAGATATTAAGAAGGGAAATGTGACTTTCTCCCACAAAACAAGACCTCTCTGAGGTCTGTCATCTGCATTTAATTGAGCTCCAAAAAAGGTTCTCGAGAACTTGGAACAATTAACATCTGGGATTGGATCTCCAACTGGATCCAATCCCAGATGTTAATCGTTGTTAATTTGACAGATATTGACTTAATTTAACATATGGGTGAGAAATAAGGTTCCAAAATCACAGACATAATCCTGAGAAATGACTGAATCATTCACTCCTTCTGAAGCAGCAGCTGTAGGGGCTTAGAGTACACATTTAAAATCACAGCAAATACCACTTCCTGTGCAATCAAGAGCAATTTCACAATTAACTATGGCCTTTTAAAAAATATCACCTATTTTCAGATTCCGTGAAATGATTGCCTAGGTTTAGGCTCTGCAAATATCGACTTATTGTGCTTCTCGTCTTGCGCAGATCTTCAAAGGGCCCTACCCAGCAAATCAAAACCCTGCTCTAGGTACAGATGTGCGTCTTCTCTCCGTGCCGTTTTAATTAGTCTCCCTCAGTAATGAACATATGAAAGGCATCCCATTTCGTCAAAGGGGTTTTGTCTGTGGAGCATCGCGAACACTTTTATCATGTAAAGAGCTGTGTGGGTGTAGCTGCTGTCCCCTACAGAACGTAGATCAGCCTGGACTGGAACCTGCTGCAGTCTGAGTATCAGCATGACAATGAAGACATATTCGGAAAGGTCACCAGCAGACAGGCTCTGTCTTCTCTGCACAGTGAGTGTTTTTAAAATTCATGCTGATCAGAGGATAATCCATGAATACCACACGGAGCTGGTCACAAGGGGGAAAGCCAGACAGATGACAAGGCATTGAGCGTGAGCACCTCACAGGATTCTCAAGGCAGACAAATGTCAGAAGCAAACAATGGCAGCAGGAGATTAATACCACTTGTGATGTAACGATTAGAAACAATGCTCGCTTTTGGCAGGGTCTTTTTTCTTCAAGATCTGGCATTTTGAGGGACTGCTCCAACCTGAACACCAGCTCAAAGTCCCAGGGAGTTTCAGAGCTGGGCTGTTAGAAACCCTGTTCCTCAAAATCGTTCGCAACCTCATGCAAACGTTGAGAGCACATTCCCTTCCCAAACATTGCTTGTACAGGCCAGCAGCTGTAAATGCTGAACTAGCATTACAAGGGTGGTCTGACAAGTTTTACCTTAATCTTTATCTTTTAATCTTATCCTTAAATTAAAAGGAAATGCCAGGTACTTCTAATATATGTTCACAGAAATGCTACAGAGCAATATCTTGTATGCATTCATAGATTCTCTACGGCTCAATATTTTCACCATCCACATTTATTGGTGGAGTGCTGTTCTATTTTTACTGGTGGATTTTCAAATTGCATTTCTCTCGTTCAGTTCGCTTTCGTAGGTCCAACACAGAAAAATCTACACCTGAAGAAGGCTCCATGGCCGAAACGTTGTGTTTTCTTCTTTTTTTTCAGCATGGAATAAACCTACTTGTTCCTTTACAGAAAAATGGAAATGCATTCACGAGCGTGAAAGTCTGTTACACTCATGCAAAAATAACACAAAGCATGATAACATTTTAGTATTTTTCTTAACATTATGGCTCTGTTTGTTTGCAGAATAGTTTCCTTTCTAAAGATTCACTAAAACATTTCTATGTAGCGTCAGGGGCATCGGTTTTCCACTCTTAGTGACACCAAACCTGGTCTCCAGAAAGGATGAAACTGGAGCCATGAAGAGCACACGATACAGTTTCTATTGAAAGCACCTGTAATTGATATGAAGTTCAGAGACAACGAGCCCCGCCATGAATATGCATAATTCCCTCTCTTCCTTTAGTTTAGTCCCTGGATTTATTATTCACACCCCTTTTTGTTGTATATGAGATGCATTTCTTCACGGTTCTCCTTGGAGCAAATTTTGAATCACTTTAAATTCAAAATGATAGTTTTCAAAAATAACAAGAACTATTTTGAGCACACCTTTGAAAATATTTATGTTTCACAAATGTACTGTTACACCTCACACAGCAGAGATCTTATTTTTCCTGACCAAACATCATTGTTTTCAGTTTCCTTTAAGAATTGTGTGTTTGAGTGAATATGCATGATATGAGTACATGCAGTTAAAAGAGAAAAACAATGTGAATACTTTATATCGAGTGACCTAAGGACGAACACTGCTGTCCTTTCACAAAATGCTCTTCAAGAACATGTAAATAAAAATTTAGATTTGGAGCCTGTCATGTACACATGGACTGTAAAAACAGTCTAATGACATCTATCCATATTTTCTCTAACAAACACTGATCTAAAGATGATCAGAAACTCCACTTAACCTGATATAAGATAAGATCACTTTATTGGCCATATACATTTTTTTTTACATTAGGAATTTGTCTTTTCACATACCCCAACTTGAGAAACACAGACAGGGAGAGAAACTTGGGGTCAGAGCACAGGGTCAGCCATTTATACAGTGCCCCTGGAGCAGCTGGGGTAAAGGTTCTTGCTCAGGGGCCCAATGGAGTAGGATTCCTCTGCTGGCTGGAGGAAAACAGAGGTGCCAGAGAAAACAGGGAGAACATGCAAACTACACCGAAGTCACCCCCATCTAGAACCTAGCCTGCCAAGTCATCATGCTACCCTTTGTAGGAAACAAGGCTTCCTCAGTGCACGACTGCTGTCATCTGACCTACGCCTTTTTGCAAATCAGCATACAGCTAATATATTATCTACTGAGCCTTTTTCATCATTTAACTGGTGGGCTACCAGTAAGACGATCATGGGCTAATAGCTCATTACCAGTCCTTGTGTCAGTACTGGCTCCTTTACAACCTTTATTCAATGCTACACGGACAATACAATTAACACATGGCACTGGTTCCTGGCACTGTAACTGAGGATAGGTAGCTACCACAGGGACAATATAACCTATCAAAGTATTGGATGAATCATGCACAGTACACCGCCTCTGTCAAAAGTACACCATGTATCATATAACAGCGCAACCTATCTCGCTTCGCTTGCTCATGTCCTTTTCTTTTTTACTAGTCCCCAGAAGAGAGAGATTTCATTCATTCTGAAATATGTTCGTGCTGTTCTCATAATAAAACACAGCTCTGTGCCAAACAGTAATAGAGGCTGGCACGCAGAAATAGATTACACATGAGAAATAAACATGGAGGAGAGGTTCTGTTTTCTCTGTATAAGAGAGCAGTTAAGGTCTATGTCTATAATGTCAAAGATATTTTCAATTATTTCTGGCAAGTGTAAGCCCTGCACAAAGTGCAAAAATGTTTGCTGCTGATTCTCACAGTATGCAAATAGCTGGTTCTTTGTGATTAAACACAGCCAATACATATCTTCAATCTAAAGAGATCAATGTGCCAGGTGACACAGTTTGGTAACGTCAGTCATCCCTGCCTCTTACTTCTGATGTGTGAAGAAATGTGTCACCTACAGTAAGTCCCTGCCCTGTAGGGGTGCCATGTGAAGCTGGTACACAGAGGCTCTCTGAAGAATTGGACTGATTGATCATGTCTTGTATCCCTGTCAGTGGGGTGGAGCAGTGGCACTGTGGCTAAGGATCTGTGCCTGTGGCTAGAAGGTTGCCAGTTTGTATCCCACGTCCGGCAGAGGAATCCTACTCCGTTGGGCCCCTGAGCAAGAGCAAGGCCCTTCACCCCAACTGCTCCAGGGGCGCCATATAAATGGCTGACCCTGCACTCTGACCCCATACTCTCTCCCCGTCTGTGTGCCTATGTGTCTCATGGAGAGTAAGCTCGGGTATGCAAAAAGACAAATTCCTAATGCAAGAAATTGTGTATGGCTAATAAAGTGATCTTATCTTTCATAACACTGTGACAATCCAGGGCAGTTACTGCTTTCAATGTACTAGATCTGCTCTCATGGTGAATAATCGATTCCCCCTTCACTTCTCGGTGTGAAAATGAAATGAAGAAAGAAAGTTTGTGTGTTTAACTTATGAAATTATTCCCTTCCACCACCCTCTAGCTTGGTCCTGTTTCAACAAGTGGAAACACGGAGATCAGGGCCTCAATGCCAGGGTCAAAATGAAAGCATCAGAGGAAGTGATGGTTTGCAATCAGGGGTCTACTGTATGTATCCCTGGGCTCTGCAGGGACTGTCCCCCAAAACAAATGAAAAATGTCACCCCTCCCAGCACCCACCAGTTTGTAAACTCATCACTCAGACATCGGCTAACCTCAGTTTTAACAGTAAAGGGTAAAAAAGTACATAAGGGGTCCTTATTGAGAGCCATCTTGAAAAGGGGAACTGTATGAAAGAAAATGTTGAGAAACTGTTCTAAAATGTAATTTGTAGATATGATACATAAATAAAGCCCAGGCCCTTAAAACCACTTTCTTTCAGCCAAAAAGGTGAGACTCTCATGGCACAGAAATAATCATTGTTACCTGAGTGGTGTGTAATTGCATACTTTGCATAATACTTTTAGAAATATAACATAAAAAATAAAAATAGCATGCATAATCTATAACAATTAAAATATATATATATAATATTATGAAAAAATACTAAATACAGTACATGATTAAAATGACTGGTTCATTTGAAGTCAGTTTTTATCTTTTAATGAGAAACTTTAATGTGTAACTCTGAAATGTATTTTGGTGCTGAAACGATAACAAAAACTTTGACTTGAGTTAGAGTGAATGCAATGTGCCTCATTGCATATATATGACTCATTTGTATCCCTCATTGATAGTGTTTAACCACAAAGTGAAAATGTGCACAATGCAGTACAGTGTGTAGCATGAGGTGCTCCCTAATGATGTGGATGGTTATGTAAAATCACAGAAAGAGCTGTGAAGGAGATGATGTACAGTACGTACCACTTTTTCTGATCCTTTCCTCCAGCATCATCGTGTGTCCCTCCGGTAGCTTTTTGGTGAAAATCTGCGCTGATCGCAGGAACATGGCTTCTACCGCTGAACCCTTCAGCAAGGCAATCTGATCCTCGTGGTCCAGAGCCTGGAAGCCTGAGAGAGGTTCTTATGTCAAGCGCGAGGAGGCAGAGGAAGAGCTGCGATCTTTCCCCTGCGCAGCTTATGGAAACATGGGTGCAAAACCTTTTTTCATCTCACGAGTATTTGCACATTTTCACACATGCCTTGCAAATAAAGTACACTATAGTACACACGCCTCTCAGGTAAACGGAGCAGCACCTCTGAGGTGATCTGCAGCCAGCTAGGAGAAGACCTTTCCCTGGAGTAGGGTTTCCCTGCTAGTGGCAGCTCAGACGTGTGGTCCTCCTGCAGGCGCTGGTGTGCTTACGTGTATCTGGGAAGCGCTGTGCTCTCCACTCTGCACAAGCCCCGGTCTTCCTCCTCACCCGAAACCTAACCCACCTGTGTCAGCCTCAGGGCCACAGCAGAGCTGCTTCTGGCCAAGCGGAGGAAAGAGCCCCTCACCTGCCCCCCCCCGGAACAGCCAAGCAATCTACCAGCATGGGTGTGGGAGGTGGGAGGAAATCGGAACAGCTGGGGTGAACATACCGAGAACGTGCAAACTCCACCCAGATGGTACGCTAGCACATTATCGAACCCTGGACCCAAGAGCAGTGCTATGCCATTGTGGCGTCCAGTATTCTATGTAACATTTATAAACATCCTTTATCTTAACACACTGCAGCTAAATTACCCAACATTTTTTTTAAAACATTTTTCAACATAGTAGTTTCAGATTATTTTTGTCTCTTACTAATAGTGGAGGAAGGAATTTATTAGTATTCTTATGGAAAATAAATCCTGCACATTTATTCACACCTTCTAAAAAAGTAACACTTTCTAAAGCTGTGTAAATATCCAATGAACTCTGTGTTGTAAGTTATCAAAAGTGAGATACCTGGTAGCTTTTTTGTAAACTCCACCAGCACTTGCACATGACTGGTTGCCATTTCTGTCAGTATTAGGAAGTTTTCTTCAGCATTAAATTGGTCATGGAGCTAAAGAAAAAAATAATGCTCAATTGGTCATGGAGCTCAATTAAAAAATATAATAATCATATTATCCAGAATTAAAAATAACCCCAGTATCAACAGACTTATTTTTTTTATTTGTTTTCATTTTACATATAATTTACATAAAGTGAAGCTCTTTTGAGACAGTGTTCCATGTGAGTTAACACAAAATGAGTTTTCAGTATTTGAAGAAATGTTTTGTTTTTATACTCCATTTAAGTTTTGAAACCATTTCACATACAGTTTATTGCTATGTAAGGAAGGGCCAAGATTTCTATCCAATAGCCCAGCATTTAAGTTTAGAGTCAAGTATTGGGAGATTTGTCTGTCTAATCTGATGTAAACTAAATGAATCACCATTGCATCAAGCTTTCTTCTGAGTGTGTGTTAAAAGTTACAAATTTACAAGCTGGCAAATAATTGTTTGTATTGTTTGTATTACTTATGTGGATAAAAAATAAGAAAGATCTAGCAGAACTAAAGAACTTCAAACTTATGTACTTAAAATGTAGTTAAAATGGAAAGGATACATGTATACATAGAATGATGAAAACAGGAAACTTACTAGTTCTTTCGCAACATCGTGAGGAATCCGATATTTATTGTAGGCATCTAAGATGTAATTTAAGAGATTGAGCTGTCCTGGACTGAATTCTATCTTCTCCTGAAATAAAAAAGAATAGATGGGTTTTTCAAAGTAAGAATACTATGGGCCACTGTTATCATATCTGAATAATTGATAGTTTTCATTCCATTGCTTTTATCAGCCTCTGTTTTAAATGTTAGCTCACATGTCTTGCATATTTTATAAACCTCAGAACTGCTTCTTCATATTTAGTATAATAAAAAGATCATGTATCACTGAATGGCAAAATATAAAATGTCTGCTGGAAGAGCAACAACCGTTAGTCCATTGCCTTCATCTCAGGGCAAAAAGAGGAAGAAAAATCCAGGGAAATTCTCATTTTTCTGTTCTTCCATACAGCAACACAGAAAGTAGGAGGACTGCAGTTGTGAGCCTGAGGAAGGTCAATACAGTACTCTGACACATCATACTCAGTAGTGTGGTTAGCTCCTATTAAATGGTATGGTGCACTGGTGCATTGACCCACAAGGAGCAGTTTGGAAACACCTGAGTGGAGCCGGAATAGGGCCACTTGTTGATGCATGCTCATGAGCAGGAGCTTGTTGTCTTGGTGGTGGGGTTTCAAGCGATTGCCAGATGAGCGGGTTCTGACAGTGCTGTGTTTGTACCGGTTGCCATGGGGACTTGCTGATCTAGAAAGGGAAGTGGGAAGAGAGCTACCAGTGGGCAGGTACTGGGACTCCGTGGCAGGCAGAGGGAGACGCTGCAGGGGCGAGGAAGAGTAGCGTTGGCGTGGAAACAGAAGAGAGACGCTTGCTGAATTTATCTAGGCGATAGGAACGTATTTCAGCCTGAAACCCCCAAAAAGAGAAGGGATATGGGCTACGTATGCGGCTGGAGGATTTAGCAAGGGAAAGAATCAAGGGCCAACACTGACCAGTTGGACGCCAACCGAAAAGGGGCTGAAAAAACATTTTTTGGGGGGAGAACCCATCGCTGTAGCTGCCTAGGCCTGAGTGCTATGGACAGAGAGGGGGTGAACGAGGAAGCTGATGCCATGTGCTAGCACCCTGCAGGGTGGGATGGGAATCGGCAACCAGGGTCTCCTGTCGGAGAGGGAAAAGAAGGAATGGGGATAGGGGAGACGAAACAATATACTGGACATATGTGCTGGGGCCATAGGTGCAGTGGATTGGACATCAGACCAGAAATGAAGTGGAGAGGAAGGAGCAGACAAGAGATAGGTAAGGGGAAAACCGGCGCAGGGACGCCTGGAGGTTCTGGGAGGCTTGCTGACATCAGGAGACCTGCAAGAAAAATGGTGTGGTGGGCGCAGAGCCGCTTGCTTTGAGGCTTTGGAGGTGAGCAGTTTCAGTCCTGGGTGAACAAGACGATGGTAAGATCCCGGAAACTCCAAATATGAGACACCTCTGTCTGTAAACAAAGCGAGAAATGTGCTGTGGGAGGACCCAGGTGAGAGCCTTATATACACAGGCAAGCAGAAGTGTGATTAGGAATAGATTAGGATCTACTGCACACTTTCTCCTGAATACCAGTTTTTCTGTTATAATTCCATAAACCACAGCACAGTCAGGAAGTTATCATGGAGACTATTTAAAAAGCTCAAGAACTTTTAAATCAAGAATCTACAAAGCTCTTTGTCCTTTATTTCACATTATACTGAGCATCAAATGTAACCTATCACTCTGTTTCTGCATGTTTCTGTTACAGAAAAAAAATGGTTTCTGGTTACCAAATAAATGTTTTTGGTGTCATTTTGATCAGCTGATTATTTCTTAGTGAACGTAATACACATGATTGACTTTAACCTTTGTATAAGCACTACATCACCTCATCAGTGAGAAAGGTGATGGGGTACAGGCGATGAGGTGACTTAACCTGTTGAATATCAAGTCTGGTGAAAATGAAGAAAGGATATAACGCATTTATCAAGAAAGCAACACCTTCGTGTCATTGGTCTGTAGGAGACTAGACTGCCTCGGCACACTGACACTCACCATCTTGGGATGTTCACAGTTAGCAACTTCTAGCCTGGCAAGACATTACAGACACACTTGGTATGTCAATGACAGGCCATGATCTAGGAGACTGTGAGCTGTGACACGCCACCAAGATTGATGAGCTCAAGTGTGATGGTCTGGCCAGAGGATTCTAGTTGCTACAGAACTCCACATCTAGTGATTGACGGCACCCTGACAGCATGGTGTTACATTAATCGAGTCCCGAGAATTAGTTGCTGCCCTTCCTATGAGCTCATCCTTATGAGACAATTTCCCTGCAGGACAGAACCCATTCCCAAGCTGGTCACTTAACGTCTTTCTTGCAAGATGAAATTGTACCAATTATCTGTGGGATGAGCTGGGATGATGTGTAATATTTAGGGTTCAGAGACGGGCTCAGTGAGCAGGCACATGTCTGTCCGGGCTCTATGAGATGAATGAGACAGAATCCCATGAGATACAGTATCATCTGCTAAATGACACAAAATGTGCTGCTGATGATAAAGCTTGTGTAGCTTCCAATGGAGGGGACACAGGTTACTGGCCTTTCACTTTTATGGTAGTGTCTGTATTGATCAACCTTAATAACAAATAATGATCAGCATCGTGCATTGATGAATGACATGTTTGTTCAGCAAAATGCTACACCTGCAAAAAACATATTCAGCAGCCATATCAGCCTGCAACTCTCAACTGGCAGCCCACTGAAGCTCAGCAGGTGTGAGCCTGGTTAGTACCTGGATGGGAGACTCCTGGGAAAAACTAAGGTTGCTGCTGGAAGAGGTGTTTGTGGGGCCAGCAGGGGGCGCTCACCCTGTGGTCTGTGTGGGTCCTAATGCCCCAGTATAGTGACGGGGACACGATACTGTAAAAAAGTGCTGTCCTTCAGATGAAATGTAAAACCGAGGTCCTGACCCTCTGTGGTCATTAAAAATCCCAGGGTGTTTCTCGAAAAGAGTAGGGGTGTTACCCTGGCATCCTGGCCAAATTTCCCATTGTCCCCCACCAATCATGGCCTCCTAATAATCCCCATCTCTAAACTGGCTTCATCACTCTGTTTTCCTCCCCACTGAGAGCTGGTGTGTGGGGAGAGTACTGGTGCATCATCCAGGTGGGGCTGCACACTGGTGGGGGTGGAGGGGATCCCCATTACCTGTAAAGCGAATGGAGTGTCCAGAAAAGCGCTGTATAAGTGTAAGTAATTATTATTATTATATTCACCATTTTACTGATAAGCTCTAGTTGCAAGTAATAAGGTTATTTTCCTTATAACTGATACATGTTGCATTTCTAAAAGAAAGTGAAGCCTTGCTCTTGTGATTAGCTTTCCAGGGGGGTGGCTACTTGATTTCTGTGTAGATAATGTTTATGCCAAAACTCAGGTCAGCTTCTTAAAATATTTTTTTGCACTCTTATGGAATTTGGATGGATTGTCTTTTCCTCAAAAACAGTAGCATGATCATTACTGATCCTTCAGGTGGCTTAGAGTTGTTCTGTGGCAATTCGGTTTTTCATCTTAGCCATAAGACACAATACAGATTAGCACAATACTGTGTTTAGCATGCATGCAGAATGAATGTATCTGTATTTATTTCTGTGGCTCTTTTACTACTCAGCCTCCCACAGACGGACACTACTATAATGGTCTTCACACCAGCCAGAAAAGAAAAATATTGATAATACTGCACTCCAGCAACAAATGCAGCTAAAAAAAATTTTAAAATAGGGGGAATGTTTTGCTGAGAAGCAATCAGTAGGTTTTTCACAAGCCTCATTATTAATATGATACTTTAATTAATTTTCACAAGCAGGATTTGGAACCCATTTATATAGGTGGGTGTGCTGGAGGAATCTGGGTTGAACACTTTCTCAAGGGTACAGCAACACGGCCCCTACCAGGCACGTAAACCCACAGCCCTCTGTCTGAACCCCGGCCCTTCTCTTTTCTGCCGCTTCATAGCTCTGCCTTGAAAGGCATAGGAAAGGTTACAAACGAGAGGAGGCCATTCGACATCATCTGGCCAATTTGTTAGTTAGTAGCTGAGTATCCCAGGATCTCCTCCAGCCATTCAGTGAAAGAAACCAGGCTTCAACAACACGGCTGGGCAGCTTGTTCCACACTCCCACCACCCCTTTGCGTACCTTCAGAACCTTTGTGGTGGACGTGACTTGCTTGTTGTCCCCACTGTCGCCTGCCTCTGTCTCCTCTCTGCCGAAATGGTCAGGAGAGGATTTGGTGTTTTTTCTCAGCCTCTTGGACTTGCACTGTATCTCCGTCAATAAACCTGTCAACAGCATTTGGAGAAGACTCACGTGAGTAAAGGCATTCTGTTAAATTCATAAACCCAGGTAATACAGGGCCAGAAGGGAACCATGTGGTACTGCATAAATATCTACTTCAAAATATAGCATAGGCTTAAACTCCTACTAGGCAATATCTAAAGCAACAGAACAGCTGGTGGAAATACACTTTGTCTCTTTGACTGTTTGTTAGTTACCAAAAAATACCCAAGAGTCAATGCTGACTCACTGCTGACACGAAAAACCTTTTTTTTAAAGGAACACTTTACTTTGCCATTTGTCTCCAAAATGCACAGCAGATTGCTTGCTTACAGTCACTAGTCATGGAGCTGTCAGTGAACTGTTGTCAATGAACAAAAACAACTGTTGCTCACAGACAGACTGCAATATGATTTAAAGTATCTTACAGTATGTTCAAATATTCCTACAGTCTTGCTTTGAAGTGAATGGGATATTAATGTGGGTTCACCGGATTGATTTTAGAATTTATAATTGTTATGAGTAACTACATAAATATTGTAAATAAAAAGCATTGTACAGAGATATTCATCAATTTTCTAAACACTTAATCCAATTCAGGGCTGCTGGGGAGCCAGAGCCGATCCCTGCAAGACGCCTGTCCATCACAGGTATGCTTTTTTTTATATGCACGCCCCTTCTCATAACAGCACGGGGGTATATTAGACTTGCCCGTGCAAGTTATTTTTTTAAAGACGAAAAGCAAAGAGTGTGTTAGAAGAAATTTAAATGTACTGATCCCTGTTCATTTCAAGGATCAAAAATATTTTGGAATTCTTCACGTTTATGTATTGGAATTGAGAACTCACATCTCAGGTGTGAAAACGGCACAATTTAAATGCAAGATAATTTTGCCAACATGCAATGAAATACACTGTAATTGTTCCGAATAACCGTAGATGGGAAAACAATTTCTCTGGGGGTTTTTCTGCTACTTCTTGCATGACCAGAGGGTTTTTCCAGTAGATGAGAGCCTTTCAGGCAGAATTAGGCCTAGATCCAGAAATAGCACCACCCTTTGTCCTCCCACTCCTTCTCGGAAACACGTCAAGTGTTTGGAGTGCAGGCCCACAGAATGCCTGCCACCTACAATATTTATAAAAATTCTGATGTACAATTTATGAGCAACATGAGCTGTTCAATCAGGGCACTCAGTGTTTCCATCACCTGACAGCTTCAAATAGCAACACTCATTGTGGCTCCTCTCCTCTGGCCCAAGCCGACAGGAGAGAATGAATCCAGCTTTTATATGGCTTCCTGTCAGCCCTGTCCTCAGTCAGCTTCCAACCTGGAGGAGTTTACTCCCAAGAATGGTAAAATCGCTCTCTCCCATTCCCCCCTGCTATCGACAACGATTCGCTCCGCTGGGTGAAGTGGCCCTTTATCAACGCACAAATCCCAACAAAGCAGTGCCGTCAGCTTCCTAAATATCCGAGAACCCGCAAATGACATAAAATCTCTTTTATATCTATATCTGGGTGATCAAATAGCGATGTACATCAACAATCTATCATCACAACATGTTTTCTACTTCATACATTTTTACACGCCACTGGAATACTCTACATATTTTCAGCATTTTTGATGTTGTTGCTTTTTCACACCTTTCACATTGAGGGCTTTTATTAGGTCGGTCTTTTCTCTTTTTTATACCAAAGATTCTATCAGACACCAGCACGTGGAGTTGGTTGCATATTTTAAAATGTTCCTGGCTAAATGAATCACGCCTACGCCAAGTTATTGCGAAACTTAACAAGTTGTGGTTTTGCTTGGAAGCGTTCAAAATCAGTATCACTTTTCAAAGTTGTCTTTATTTTTCTGTCTCACTTTTCCAACTTTTCCTGTTATTTTTCATTTCTGTTCAGCACCTTGAGGCGATCGTTTTTCACACAAAGAGCCATGCAATTAAAAAGATATTAGTCTTTCCGCATGTAAACATTCATATACTGTATGCTTTATGTGTGCTTACGTATTCTTTGATGATGGCTGTTCAGACAAAGTTTCTTATATAAACGCATAGCATTATGATAACTTTTCAATGTTAAGGAAATCTGAGAAGATTTAAAATTAATTTATTAAAATAATTCAAGTAGGGAGCTGCATCAGCAGGTGTAGGCTGTGGAGGAACAAGTAAAGGTTTATTCCAGCTGAAAAGAGAAGAAAAGAAACACAATGTTTCAGCTGTGGAGCCTTCTTCAGCTGTGTAGAAGGCGGCTCCACAGCTGAAGAAGGTTCCACAGCCGAAACGTTGTGTTTCTTTTCTTCTCTTTTCAGCATATTAAAATAATTTCAGGCAGCACATATTAATAAAGAGTATTAACATCTTGGACAGAATTGTAGAACCTACCAACAAGTAAAACTGAAGTGTGCACACTTTTACAGGATAAAAAAAAGAAAAAACATTATCTACAGATATAAAAGTATTCAATTTATTTTCCAAACAAATGCAGCCATAGTTCTTTCATTTCAGAGCCCAGAGTTAATAAAACACCTCATCTTCTTATCAGGAAACCAGTACATATGGGAAAACTACAGACACTATGTTAATTTCAGATTAATTTCCTGGTGTCTACTTTAAATTCATTCTATCTTTTATTGTCTTCCTCATTGCTGAATGGTGTCCTTAGACACACATCTGCTCTCTGCTGTAAAGGCAAATAGTTAACATTCTTACTACAGAAGGGCTCATTTCGAGTGTATCATTAAACACTTAACAGATTTAACCTTGAAAGAAGGTTAGGAAACAACTGATAACATTTGCTAAATGTATCTGTGTGTGCATTTATACACATACTATATATAAGTAATTTATTAAGAAAATAATAAATACTGTGAAAGCAAATGTGATTTAGTGCTGTCAAACACCTGAAAGACAAGTGTCCAGAAACTGAATGGATGACACAATCTTTAGATTTATCTTGATCACAGCCTTAAATCATTTCTAATACAGTATACTGTATATATGTTGACGTGGACCATTTTCTGGACAAACTCAGCATCATTACTGTACTTGCATTTTTTATGGCGCCTTTCCATCCCAAATTGCATTTTTTGAAGGGAGCCCCCCTCATGCACCACTGAAGCACAGCCCCCACCTGGGTGACACACAGCAGGCACTCTGCACCAGCAGATCAGGTGGGGAAGTGAGAAACTGCTTCACCCATTCGTATTCAATACCCATTCAATATTCATATCTATTAATAAGTTTTGGTAGGGTCAAATTTGCCTTGTGTTGCAGCAGACACATGCGTCACAACACAATGGGAGTGTACTGTGATCACTAGCCCATTTAAAATCAGCTTCCATCTTTCTACGGTATTATTCTTGCCTTGGGGAAAATATATAGGCATATTTGAAATGGACAATGCTTTAGAAAATATTTCACTGTACAGCTTTTCAAATTACTGAGGCTGGTCCTCAATAAAGACAATGTTATTAAAAAATACTATTTAAAAATAAATTAGGCCTATTGGCTAATAGGCATGTGAGAAATTGGGGCTCCAGTTGCCCTACAATCTGAGCTGATGGTCTTGTTTAGCTCAGGCTGTAAGAGGTCAGAGATTTTCTTATTGCTGCTGTCTATAAATGTGGATTCTATGTCCTAACACACCCTGTTGCGGTCGACGCATTGACCTGTCTTTCTTGCCCCTTCGGCTGATTCCCGCCTCTCCCAGCACACTTACACTCGGCCAGCATTCCCATCTCCTTGCACTTCCGGAGACGGCATTCCTGACATTTCCTCCTCATATACATGTCCATCTCGCAGCTCCCCCCATTCTTGCATTTGTAGACCGCGTTCTTGGTGATACTCCTCCTGAAGAAGCCTTGGGGAAGAAAAGGACAGGTGAGGCGGTGAAGGTCTCGGGAGTCCGGCGTGGAAGAAAGGCAACAAACCCCAAATCCCGGAGACTCTGCATCGGGAGACGCCTGCCTTGTGGACGGCCGTGTGTTGAAATCTTCAGATTTCCCATTTCAGGTAAAGCATCTCAGTCTCAAATCCAGGACGGTGGCGTGGCGCAGTGGTCAGCCTGTGGGTTTAACCCCAGGGGAGACACCCTGAGCCAGCTGCCTCCCTCTAACAGCTCCAGTGAAATACCCAGCTGTGCAATCGGGTGCACATGTGCTGTAAGTTGCTTACATGACCCTGTCAGCCAAATGAATTGGCATATTAAAAATGTGGCACGTTTTGAAAGTTAAATAATAGGAACCTATAGTATGTTTGCACAGAAACCCACAATTCATAGCTGGTCCGCCTCTATTTCTAACATTTGTCAGGATGCGCTAAGATCAGTATAAAACATGCTAAGATCCAATTACGATTATTAATTTCACAGATACATTTGGCACGTCTGGCTAAAGCAAATCCCTTTCATACAGGTGGGGAGTCTGTATTTACTGGAGCAATCAGACAAGCAATCGAAGTGAAGTACCTTACTCAAGGGTTCAGCCTGAGGCTCGAACCCATAACCTTCCGGGTAAGGAGTCCTGAGGCCTAACCACAACTCCACTTCACTGCCAGAGGAACACGCAGGTCAAAGAGTAAAATGATCTGATGTTTTATTCACCACAAATTAAGAAAAAACATTTTGCAATGCTTCTAGTATTCAGAATGATACTACTTATCTTTCTATATACAGTAACTGTTCTATGCCCTTTAATTACTACGTGGGAAAAGAATTCAACCACTGAGTCCCCCGAGAAATCATTGTGCTACACCTCCTTACTCGTTCAACCAGGACGTCTGTCCAAATTCCGTATATGACAGGACAACAGAACTGGACATTATACATCCTTCCACCTGGTGATCAGGAGAATGGCAGCCATTAAAAATGCATTGCCCTGAGGGAGCTCAGTTTCTCCTACTGTTATTCAGGAGAAATAGGAGAGGGGTAACTGACTCTGCCCAGGGAAGACTGTGATGCTGAGTTGTAGCAAGCTTTAAGAAAGGAGAAAGACATAGCGTGCCTGCACTGCTTCATGAATAAGGAATGTTGGATTATATTAGCACTCATTAAACTACTACATTATCTGAAGCTCAAAAAGGGAATCACATTCATAGTTACCATTTATAGCTCATATGCAATTCTAAATACAAATATGCAGGAACAATAATTATCTGTATCAAATCAGAACTGGTATTTATACATATACATAGAAAAGAAATCACATACAACTTAGTATTTTACATTAAATCGTAAAAGAGACAGTGTTGTCCTGTTGTGACCACAGAGATAAGAACTATAACGTGAGTCAAAAGAATTATTTGATGGCTAATAGTTGCAATCCCTACTGTAGTAGTATAACAGCTGTGTGGGAGAGATGCCTTGTTTTCGATAATTGAATTCAGGGATGTCTATGGAAGGGTCCGGGGGCAGAGGGTCCCTCTCTGTAATGACTGTGAGCAAAAATCCTAGGAGCTGCTACCAGGACGTGACCACCCTAGAGGTACTGTATGTTCCAAGCCTTTTGTTTCACTGTTTGTTTATAACAAATACAAAAAGTGAATCAAGTCAATCGACTCATTTAATTTAAAGAAATGCAAGTTGTTCATCTTATCGTGTCCAATGCCCTGTCTTCCAAAATGCAGATTTCCCGTTATCACTTTTTTAATCTGTGCACAAAATGTACATAGCAGTTTATAAGTCACTACCCCAGCGACAACTTTGACTTAGTGTGTGACGTTGTGAAAGTCAGTCTGAGACCTTGATCTTCCCAGTTCCTGGCTGTGAGACTGGGACATAAATTAATCACTCTGAACTGAGGCACTGTACCACTCAGTAGGAGATTCATCACAAAAGGAAAAGAGTGAGGCGGTAGAATTTGTGTTTATAAATGCTACTCATCAAAACAATTTGATCCTGAGATTATTTAGCAGTTTCCATTCATTTATGAGCTCTTTTGAAACAGAGTATTGTATGAGTTGTAAGTGACTTATATCTTCTATCCCGTTAGACATGTATGAAAAATTCTACTGTTTTAACTTACCTAAGATCTAGCAGGTTCTCAAACACTGTGTTTTTAACAGTAATATAATTCTGGGGGATAGTCAGCATGGATTTAGAAAAGGCTGGCTGAGCTAACATCTTAAGTGTCTTTGAACAAGCAATTGCAGTCATGGATACAAGCAGAACATATGATATGAACTATTTTTATTTTACCATTTTTTTATTTTTGAAAAAGTGAAAGCTCCACTTCAAAGATTAATTTTAAGGGGAAAGTTCTAGGTGTCTAAGGTAATGGACAGAGAACACAGGAAGGGCGAATGTACATGCTGTGGTGGTGTGCCTTGTGTTTATGAATAATCTAGATTCCTGCAAACTTGTCAAATTTGTATATAATACAGAAATACAAGGACCTGCAGATGCTGTAGAAACAGGAAAAGAAATTCAAACAGAATTACACAACATAAAGGACTGAGTAACAATTTGGCAGATGATGTTTAATATAAACAAAGGCAGAGTATTTCGTGCAGATATAAATAAATAAAATATAAGATGGAAGACACTAATTGGAGAGCCATAGAAAAACAGGTCTCTATGTTAATACATTCCACGTCTCAAGTCAGTGTGGGGAAGTAATGAGAAAGGCCAACAATGTATAATGTTTTATAGTTAAAAAAGGCAAACAAAATATTATCAAATATAGTTAAAAGTTCAAAAATCAGTAACTTCTGTGTGAAATTGTTCAATACACTAGCAAGAACTGAGAAAACAAAATTGCTCACAGATACTTCTATGCTCATACAAGCTAGACTACAGTGGAACATGCTTCAAATGTCCAAAATCTGTAAAAGCACTGACAAAGTCATCCCTAAAGCACAACTTCAGCATCACCCAGTGTACTAAACTAAAGAATACAAGTGTGAAATACTTTTAAGCCCCATAACAGGAGGCAGACCTGTACACTAAGGGTTGTGGGGGCGTGGAACACGCAACATGGCTATGTTGTTGAAGCTGATACCCTAGCTTCCTTCAAGAAACAGCTAAGTGGGATTCTCAGAACAGTTAGCAAACTGGTTACATGGGTCACTTGGCCTCCTCTCATCTTCAAGCTTTAATAAAGTAATAGCTTAAAGTAACAACTTATTCAAGTGATTATAGTCTTAGGACTCCTTCACTGTTCCTCATATTGTGGAAGAAAACAAAACTGCCCTATTGGCATATATTGTATCTGGCTCGATATGTGGAGCCTTAGTGTCTTCCGTGCCAGCTAGTTGTGAAGTGATCCTGAGAGACTGTGACTGCGGTTCTCCTCTGTCACAGTAACACAGTACTGGTAGACTCTGAATAGCAAATTTCCTATGTGGAACAAAAGTGGGAAGCTCTGGATATATTGATAATATAGGGCATCCTACACCAACAAAATATGTTGTCCATCTAAATGATAAGATCAGATCACTTTATTGGCCACATACAATTTCTTGTATTAGGAATTTGTCTTTTCACATACGCCAGCTTGCTCTCCATGAGACACACAGACGGGGAGAGAAGCTGGGGGTCAGAGCGCAGGGTCAGCCATTGTACAGCGCCCCTGGAACGAACCAGCAACCTTCCAGCCACAGGCGCAGATTCTTAGCCACAGAGCCACCGCTCCGCCCCATGAGCACTGAGGTAACGAGCAATTATTGTGTCCATGAAATTTGGAATGTTATAAGACAAACACGAGAAAACATGAAAGGACAGATAATGACCTTGATCGCCACTGTTTCAAAGGAAAAAGTGTTGCTCTCTGAGGCCTCTCTGTGTTTTGTTTTATGTGGGTGAGGAGGGGGTTTCGTTGAAGTAGGACCTTGCAACATCCTTTATCTGGACGCATGAGTCCAAGGTCAATTGTCTGATCACAGATTTCGCATAACCAAGGTCCAGTAAACATCTATTTGACCCCCAACAACAAAAAAACTAGGCAAACATGACATCTTTGGTTTACAGCAGAAATGAGGACCAGTTTAACTTATCATAGGTCATGTTTGCTTCAGCAGGGGGAAAGAAGTGCTTTACTGCAAGCAAAAAGGTACAACACTGAACAACTAAGTCTAAATTTCCTCCCTCCTTCGAGTGCAGAAACATTCTCTGGTGGACATGCTATCCACATTACAGTGGTACCCATAAACAATAAAATATAAGCACATTCCCATTTTGTAAATATAACTTTTGGTATTCTGACACTTGCAAAAATGCAATGCTCTAATGATATTAAAATATTCATTTAACTCTTCATTAGACTTACACTTTTATAGTGTGGAAAATCTTGGTTGTTCTTTATTTGTCAATGTGTCAAAAAGGATTTTCACCCATTGCAAGTTTTGGATGCTAAAGTCCATTTCTGGTTGATTTATATAACTGTCTGGAGTTCATCTTAAAAATAAATAAGAAGACACTAACAATGTATTAATTTCTGAAGGTACGGCCTTTTCTACTGTTAAACAAAAGCCTGTGCTGGTTTGAAACAGTGTGCCAATGTGCCTGCACTTCAGAAGTCAACCGTTCAGCCTTGTCAGCTAATAAACATTGTTTCAGATTTTGAAGTAGTCTTCCAGTACTTTCTTGTCATTATTCATACTGGAAAACAGCTGAACACACAGCTATATTTAGCAGATGCTTTTATCCCAAGCAATTTACATTTGAGCCCATTTGCACAGCTACAGGAGGTATTTTACTGGAGCAATTTGAGCAAAGTATCTTGCACAAGTTACAAGCACAACAGCCATGTTTCAGTCCCAGGGTTTGGGTCCACAACCTTCCAGCTATAAATCCAGCATCACTCTTCCACACTGCCCGACAAACTGAGCTCAACCGAATCTCATTTGCACTGAGATCAGAGGAAAACAATACTTTCTCTGTGAGATACTTTCATGGATGCAGTAAGTATTCATATAGTAAATTTAGTTATGTGTGTCTCTGACTTCATTCAAAAACAGCAGTACCTTGCATGGCAATACGTTAGCAGTATTTGTTAACATATCATATCCAGCATTGAGAGTACAGTACAAACACTTTAGATAGGGCTGACTGATGTCTTGCAATAAATGCCTTCCTGCAGTACATTCTAAGTGGAGCTATGACTAATAGGACTTAATTTCAGTCCCTGCCACTGGATACAAAGTTAATATTTTTAAAAGTAAGATTTTTTTTTAAAAGCAATTAATTGAAAAACGATTTTCACAGTATGGACCAGCTAGTGTTTTCAGCTTTTCACTTCACAGCAGGGGAGAGGTAATAAAGCACAACCCTACTGTAACGAACAGTTCTTTCCGGACCCTATGCGGACGACACAATCCGAAGAAGTGGGAAACACTAGGAAAACGTCATGCAGGAATACGGGGCTGAAAACAGGGGGGCGTGTCCAAAGTGCGCTGGTGCACGGGGGAGGTGTGGCCGAGGCAAACAATCCAAAAGTAATCCATAGAGGGAATCCAAAAACACAAGAATAAGTCCATAGCCAGGTGATCCATCCAAACTAGGAATTAAAAACACGAACCGGGTCGGAACAGGAGGAACCGGCGGACAAGGAACGGGAACAGAGATTAAAACCTTAATGGGACCAGGCGCTTCCAGGTCCAGGACTCACACGGTACGGAAACCAGATGCAGAGCCAGGATGAACGTCAGCGCCTGGCTTTTAAGGTGGGCTGGGAAAAGGGATCAGGTGCACAGAATGAAGTCTAAAGTGAAAGGGCTGGAGCACCCTTAAGGAGGGGGGACTATAATCGTGACACCTACCTTTGCATCCTTCGCATGTAAGAGCGTTGTAGTGGTATCCAGAGGCCTTGTCCCCACACACCACGCACAGCTCCTCCCCTTTGATCCTGCCAGGATGGGGCCCTTGTCTTGACCTTTTGAACGCTGGGATGGTGCCATCCTCCATTTCTGCATCGTAACTGTTCTCACAGGGCACCTTTCTCAGTTCGTACATCCCCGAGGGAGAGTACCACTCCTCGGAATAGGCTGGGAAGTAGTTCTGGCTGGAGTAGTAAGGTGGAGAAGCCATGGGTGGCTGCACTGGAGGGAACTGCATGCTGGGATAGCTGGGAAAGGGCAGCAGCTCTGGGTCTTGCAGCAGGGGACTGCCCTGATCTGCCAGCAAGTCTGGGACACCAGCAGGAAAAACAAAAAAAACACAAAGGAAAGTTAAGGCCATAGAGCAGAGGCACTTGGTAACTGTGTGCCCCTGTTTCTCTAGGACACAGATCAGAAACTCCATCTCACGTTTTGCACCCACTGCTGGACATCTGGTCACAGTTTCGTTCGGAAAATTACAGCCTGTAAGTAGATATACAGTATGCCACCTGTTGGGAAATGTATAAAGTATTCCAGGTGTAAAAAGCTGCTTGCAACCCTTGGGGTTATTATTAGGGTGTGAGGTCAGGATTAAGGTTTTTGATACTAAACATGCAACTAATCTACAAATGAGTTCAGTTATTATCACATTTATATCGCTCTGTTAATATGTTATTAATATATTCCACACAGAAAACTTGTAGAAGTGGTATTTGCAGCCCCTAAACTCTAACCTCTGCTGCGTGGCTGGTGTCCCTCAGGGCAGTGTGCATGCAGACTGGACACCTGTTCACCTGCCACCCTTAACTGAGTTTTTCAGATCCAAATAAAAATGCTATGTAATGCAATCTATAAAATATGGTTGTGAAACTTGTGAAATCGTGAAAAAAGGAATAGAAAGGCCTCTCAGCTGTATTTTCTTCTTTCTGGCATGTATTCAGTGATGCAATCACTCTCCACCAAAATGGATTAACCTTACCATGGTTACCACTGCTTTTCAACCTTACCACGTTTTATGCTTTGTTTTATACTGTATTTCAGATTCATCTGACATTGACCTACTGTAACTAAGAGAAAACATGCAACAACAGGAAAGAAATAAAATTTAAAGAATGCTCACTGTAAACATAAAGTGTTTAGGTATTGGATGTATTATGGTGACAATACATTTATTTTTATTTTATTGGCATTTAAAAAACTACATTGAATGTCTTTAGTGAAGCTCACATATAACTTACTCATAAAATAAACATGGAATGACATTATCAACAACATGGCACATATCCCTACAAGTAAAAACACATTTGTTTTTAAATAACCACTTCAATCAGAAACCCCCTAAAAAGTGTTAAGTTACATGAACTCTAGTTCTCATATCAGCACAGATATGAAATGGCACAGAACACCAACACAGGTTATCCGTTCCAAGTCTCAGATACTCAGCTTTAGACTGACTTTCCACCAATTTCTAAACACGCCTCCGAAAAGCAAAATCAAAGACAGGAGCTACTTTTTTCATACTTGTGCCGTAATCACAAAAAAGCAGAATCTAGAGCAGTTCTAGGTTTCTTAACTCAATCATTTAACCAGGAAGAAGCAGACATTTCTTTTTCTGTTTGGAGTCCTCCATTCTAACACTCACACTGACCTCCTGCTGGCTTCTCTTGTACCATTTCCATGACAGTCAGGGCCAGAAACTGCGTCCCTTTCAGGAGTGGCTGCCCTTGGTCCGGACCCTGCTGTGACTCACCCCGTCCAGAGCAGTTTGAAATTAAGAAGCGCATTCATTGTGGGCAGCATGCTCTCGTAAAGAAGTAGAGTGTGTGCTAACGTGTGACTCATCACCTCAGTTTTACTGTAGCACCTTAGTACCTAAGAAAGCGAGCCAAGTGATCAAAGGTTGTCAGAGTTGTTAATTAACTTTTAAGACATTTTCAGGGCTGCATGACTACAAAATCAATATTATACAGATGTCTTTGTGTGAACTACAGTATGGATGCTGCATGCGGACAAACTGACTCCAAGCAACACCGAGTACGATAGTTCTGTGTGGGATCCGTTGCTCTTTGGAATGGTGTTCTGATCTGTGTATAGGAATCTGTCAGTTTCTTATGCACAGCTGTAATAATCCACACCAGTACTTCGTTTAATGCAAAATATATCTACATGGATATGCTTTTAAAACTGTTACAGACCTGGGCTTCTATGTGTTCTTTAATAGGATATTAGGATCAAAATACATTCCTGAGTCAACGCTGAGAAATGCTGAGTCAATAACAGGCCAATAACGTGGTGTAGCAGAATATCTAAGAATGTACCTATGTAAAGTTTTAGTTCGCCCAGATCTTGTATTAATTTTCAGCTGACCAGGACTGATGATTTTATTTATCCATATACTGTAGGAGGGTCGTGTGATCTATGACATCAAAATCATGGACACAAAATATTGGAATACCATTACATGTCATACATTACAGAATTCTACATTTCTCAGCCATTTTTATGTGGCTACAAAATATTATAGCAGGAAGCCAATCATTAGTATTTGTATTGTAATCATTAATATCCTATTGTTGTAAATGTAATTGTGAACATTTTGCTAATTATTGCGTTTTCGGCAGTTACTTAAGTGTGCGTTTGATTTAACTGACTGTTTAAGAGTAGTATCCAGGAAAAACACCCCAGATTTATCAGGGTCAGCATGAAGTGATAGTATGTAGTTTACTATGGAAAATGTTATCCCCCCCCTCCCAAAGCTATTAATCTTAAACACATTTGCACATCTCCATTTAAAATAAAATTGCTCCGAGCTGTCAATGAGCAGGCTGTTTTGGAAGAGATTAATGCAGATAGCTGTCACGGTGATCAAGCCTCAGTCCGGGCCCAGAGGGAGCGCCACGCTGAGATTTATGGGCCTGAGTTTAAGGTAAATGTAGGCTGTTGTTTGTCAGCTTTGCACCGCCATGCAGACGCGACCAAAGCAAAACGCATCCGTTGAACGTCACATCTTAGGGTATTAAATCGACAGCGGTGTCTGTAGTACGTATTAAATTAATACTTAGCAAGCAGAATTAATCAAGATATAAATCATTAGGAACTGCAATAGATAAACTGATTCTCCCATGCTTGTTAATGAGTGTTCGTGTGTCGTTTCCATCTTCCTTTTTAAATATGTAAAATTCGGGATAGTCGCAAAGACCATCGAAAATGGGTTTACATTGTTGGACGTTGACAATCTTAGATGTGAAACGAACCCTTTAAAGATTATTAATGCAAAACCTAGAGTGTATTTTCTTTGGAAAACATGAAGTCTGTGATGTTGCCTATGTTCAGCCTTTCAGAATCCACTTCAGCTGAAGTGTAAGAAGTTAAAAGGACACCCACGTCTAAGATCTCTCACTTTCATGTCTGTCTGCCAGCGCAGATGCAAGCAGTGTGTTCATGCTCTTCCTTTCTGGGGTGCAGCTGGGCACAGCGGTGGAGGGAAAAGAATAAAAGCTGAACTGTTTTGAACTGTTCTCATTTGATCGAGATTTCCACATCGGGACACAAGAGCACAATCCCCGAGCACGCTACTGAAATGCAATTAGTTCGTGAACCTGTTGGTCCCATACTTTCTTAATAATCTCATTCGCTTGCTTTTAGGAGCTGCACATGGTTCGCGAGAAAGCGCTGTAGCTTTTGTCGGCATCAGTGTTGTTTTGGCCTGCGGTGGTGATACGGCACCTAATGCAGCTTTGATGTACAGTAGACGGTCTGTCACGCGTGTTGCCCGGCCAGACCTCAATAAGACCGGGGTTCTGTCGGGAGAATTCAGTGCTGTTCTGGTTCCTGATTCGGGTGGGGGTCCCGAAAGTTCGGGGGAGTTGACAAGAGCCCAGTTCAGTCGGACTGACCTGTCAGCACTTCGCTATCGCTGCTGTCAACATTCATTCAACTAAACATTATTACATACTATACTATACGTTATCCTCCTCTCTCCCTTGCACACGTGTCCTGCCTCCCTCCTCCACCCTATCTCTGCCTCTGCAGCTGCCCCTTGGTCGCTCCACACTCGGCTTACGCCTCATGGGGGTCCCGGCCTCCTCGTCCCGTGGCCAGGAAGACCCCATCCAGAGCACTAAATCACTGCATAATCCTTACAGACTACACTTCATCCTTGTGGTTGTTGTTGTTCCTTGCAAACAGGATTAGGTCACCGCCACAGAATCACACGAGGTCTGTTACAATGACACCCTCGTACAGCTGAAGTCATTCCTTACCGAAGAACTGTGAGTTTTCCGACAAGGGGAACCCATCGCTTGCTGGCGTCTGGAGCTGACCCACCACAGTAATATCCGAGCCCGCCCACTCATTCATGAAGCTGGCTTGAGAAGGTCACACTAGCAGCACAGTCCTGCGAGACACAAAGACGTGTTCATTTCTCCAAGTGTCCTTACAAACCGCACGCACTGGAGAAATGTCACCTTCAAGGTGTGTCACGCTTTCATCTGGTGTGTACAGAATTTCCAGCTGTATTAATTTACTTAAACACCCTTTATAATAAAACCTGACATTTTAGAGTTGGAGCAAAATTTAAGACTCTTCAAGTCGTATTGGAAAAAAAAATTCAAACACAACAATCGCTTCGTGATTTTTTAAAGGAAATACGAAGTTTCGAGAAAACATGTTTTGCGCTGTTTTTCTGAACTGTTATTTTTCAGTACCAACACAGTTTTAAGGATAGTTATTTCCCGGGAACATTCTGTTTTAAAACTTTTAAAACTCTCAAAAGGCCCGAAGCCTCATTTACGAAGTGGCTTAATGGACTGACAACTTCAGAAATATTTAACCATTTCAGTAGTGAAAACCCATCAAGGAGACATCACAGACTCCAAGAATATTTATGCTGTTCCTACAGTATAATATTACTCAATACAAAGACATTGTTCTGTAATTGATACAACAACAAGGAGATATTTTGTTTCATTCTGACAGGTGAAGGAGGAAGATCCTGTAAGGTTTGGAGAGATCATGATGCATCACGGTAGGGCAAATAATTTTGTATTGTTTTTCTATTAGTAACATGACAATATTATGCAGTTTGAATTAGGTCCATTCTAATTCTTGCATCAGGCATTAGATAGATAGATAATACTTTATTAATCCCGTAGGGAAATTGATGTGTTACAGCAGTCCA